GTTATAATCATTATTATTATTATTATTATTATTATTATTATTATTATTATAAAATATATACGTTTTTCAATTGTCAACTCGACGAACGAAAACGAACTGTTTCAAATACTACCTTCGAATTTCATTTTAACAAAAAAAAAACTTTCCAAAAAAAACGGTCGGTTTTGCAATGAAATGCAAAATTTTTTTATGCTTACAAACGTTGTTAAATACTACGAAGAATAAAAATCTCAAACTCGTGTGTGTGTGTGTGCGAGAGAGAGAGAGAGAGAGAGAGAGAGAGAGAGAGAGAGAGAGAGAGAGAGTGAGAGAGAGAGAGAATTTTTTTGAAAAATCTCATTGGTCGATTGGCAAATTCGAAAAATTAAATAAATCCGATCAATTTTTCCCCTTTTTTTTCCTTTTATTTATCACCATTTAATCACCGGTTGAGTGAATTAAAATTAATAACGAAAACGCATACGGTAATTATCATTATTATTATTATTATTATTATTCACATTTTTTTGTCGTTAATTAACCGTTTAAATTACGGCCTCAATATACGCGTATACGTATAAAATTATAGCGCTATAAAATAACAATAAATCAGTCGCGTAATGAAATTTTTTTTGTTTTTCCAGATTTGCCTACATTAAAATCTGAAAATTTAGGAGAAAAAAAAAATTTTTTTATTTTGTAAAGTGCGAATTAAACTTCCGGTTTTTATTTTTTTTTTTAAATTTATTTTTCAGTCCGTTTCCGTTTCCTTATTTATTTTATTTTTTATCTCACGTCTGAAGAGAAAAATATATTTTTTTTCAATTTAATTTATATATATATATTTTTTTTTTATTATTAAATTGAAAAAGTAGAAATAAAATTAAAAAGAAAAGGAAATATTACGGGGGTGGAAATAAAGGGAATAGGGAAACGAAAACGGAAACGGAAGCGACGGACGGAAAAAAAAATACTACGTTACTTTTACAGAAATTAATAATAATAGTTAATTCGAATTTTTTTAAAACCGCAAGAAAAAAAAAAGTGGAAACTCTTGCACTTTTCACATTATTACCTGACTTGTTTTAATAATTTCAGGCACGCGTTTACCTTCTCTTCCCTTCCCCCTTCTATTCCCCTCCCTTTTCTTCTTATTCTTTTTATTTGATTTTTTTTCTAAAATCTGCTGTTGGAGAGGAAAAGGAAGATAAAAGATACGTTTTGAGGAAAAAAAAAAAGATTTCAAGTGAGAAGGGTTTTATATTTGTAAAATTTTTTTTTTTTTTTTTTACTTGGAAAACTCATTTAACGCGAGTGATAATAATAATAATAATAATAATAATAATAATAATAATAATAAGAATAAGAATAAGAATATATTCAAATATAAAGAAAAACTTTTTGAATTTATAAGAATGAAAAAAAAAAATTCTTTTTTATTTAACCGCATAAATTTTTTTTTAAATTTATCGTTTTCATTTTATATCATTATTATTATTATTATTATTTGTACGTACGTATCTACTTTCGAACAAACTGTAAACAAAACGAATGAATGAATGAATGAACGAACGAACTCTCAGACAAACAACCTAATGCGAAATGTTTACATAAAAAAAAAAAAAAAATTAATCAAAGATTGGAACTTTGGTTTCGGTTGTTTTTCCAAAGATTTATCATTATTATCATTATTATTATTATTATTATTATTATTATTATTATTATATCGTTTTACTGGAGTAACAAAAGAAAAAAAATTTCTATACAAACTGACAAGAAAACTTTTTTGTTTACAAAAAAAAAAACAAATTAATTTTGTGTTTTATATTATTAAAAAAATGTTAAACGGATCGAAATTAAAAACTTTTCTTTTTTTTTTCTTTAAATGGATTTACTTTAAGCATAAATCACAAGAGAGAGAGAGAGGGGGGGGAAGGAGAGGGGAAGAAGTAGAAACAGAGAGAGAGAGAAAAAGAAATTTTTTTTCTTATTTTTGTACTTATAATCCTTTTTGAAATTTTTTTTTTTTTTTTGTTATCCAGAAATTGAAGAATTTTCAGTTTTTTTTTTTAATATTTTGTTTTATTATTATTATTATTCTTATTCTTATTATTATTATTATCATTCGTTTTTTTTCTTTACAGATCAATGAAAATAAAAGAGAAACGTAACGATGGATTTTCATTTGAATATAATTTTCACAACGTTTCTGGTGGTTTTTGCTTTTGCCGGAAGTGATTGGACGACGAATTGTCCACCGCCTTGCAAGTGCATATGGTCCTACGGTAAAAAAACGGCAGAATGTCAAGATGCGGGTTTCAATTCGGTTCCGAACACTTTAAGTCCCGAATTACAAGTGATAAATATAAATAATAATAATTTACACATTCTTCCGAGTCAAGCATTTAAATCCGTTAATTTATTTAATTTACATAAAGTTTTTATGAAAAATTGTTCGATCGAATTGATCGATAAAAACGCATTGTCCGGAATGGTCGTCCTAATAGAAATCGATTTATCGAACAATAATATAAAAAATTTACACAGGGATTTGTTTAGGGAATGTGAAAAAGTACGAGAAGTTAGATTTTCAAATAATCCGATACAGAAATTAGACGACGGTTTGTTTTCGAATTTAGAATTTTTACAAACTGTGGATTTTACCGGATGTAAACTACACGAAATCGGTTCGCAAGTTTTTTGGAACGTTCCCGCGTTGACGACACTTGAATTGAAAAGAAATAAATTCACGTATTTGCAATTGAGTTCCGTCGAACATTTGCACAAGTTGAAAAATTTCGGTCTCACAGACAATCCGTGGAATTGCAATTGTAAATTGAGACCTTTGAGAAATTGGGTCATACAAAGGAATTTATACGCGATACCGACGAGTTGTAAAGAACCTTTACAAATGAAAGACGTTCTGTGGAACGAAGTGAACGATCCGAACGAATTCGCATGCAAACCCAAAATAATATCGCTAACGAGAGAGCCTCACGGTATCCTTGCATGTTTGGTTGAAGGTGATCCCATGCCGACGGTCACGTGGAGTTTTAATAATAAATTAGTTACGAATTATTCATTTCTCGCATCGGATTTTGTCGTGCAAGAATCCACGGTGAACGGTGAATTAAAATGGAGTAACTTGACGTTGAGAAACACGAGGGGTGGTAAAGACAACGGAGAGTATAAATGCGTTGCCAAAAGTTACGGCGGTTCGACGGAATTAGGAAGAGAAGTTAAATACGATCCGTATCTGGATGGTGATTCTTATTACGGGTCTTCGGATGGTACCTACGACAATTGGTTGTTGCTTGCCGGAAGCATAATCGGCGCGCTGTTGTTGATCGCCATTGTTTTATTTGTGAAATGTTACGTTTGTAAAAGATATACGAGAAAGAATAATCGTAATAAAAAAGACAAAGAAAGTGTCAACGGTAGCGTGACTCACGTTATTGATTCCGAAGAAAAAAATTTAATTAACGTTATCAATCCGTTGCAAAAACCACCGAGAACGGCAAACGCTTCGGCAAACAGTTCGGAAACGGAATTTCACGAATCTAACGTGTCACAATACAACGATAAAGGATCCGTCAAAGGTAAATTAATAATAAATATTAATTTTTTTTTTTGTTTTCCGATTTCAAAGTATCGATGATTTTTATCGAAAGTCCGATTGATTGATCGATCGATCGATTCAATTCCGTACTTTTAAATAAAAATGAAATTTTATTCATTCATTGAGAAAAAAAAAAAATTTTTTTTTTGCTTCTTTTTACTTTTTTTTATGTTTTTCGGTTGTCGCGAACTGCTGTCGTCGTCTGCTGACGTTTTTTTTTTTCTCTTAATTTCGGTTATAAACAAGAGGTGACATAATAATGAAAAGTTTTGTTGTTTCCAAAAAAGTTTTCAATTAAAAGAAAAGTTTTAATTTTCCTTTTCTTTTTTTTTTTTTTTTGGAAAGACATGCTGCTTCTAAGTTTCTTTCTTCTACCTCCCTCACCCCTCTTACCCCCTACCCCTATATCTATCTCTCTCTCTCACCAATTAGTTATATCTATCTTTTTCTACAAATTGAACAAAACAACACAAACGTGTATACGTAATTTACTAGCGCAAATTTTCATTTAAAAAAAAAAAAAATTTCTTAAAATTTTAAAATTTAAAACTTTATCGGAACCCCTCCTTCCCTCCCTCCCCTCTCCCCCGTAAAGTTTTTTGTTGTTTTTTCCGACAGAAATTTTAAAATTATTATTATTATCATCACCAGTAATATTTTCATTTATTTTTTTTTCTTATTTTGCCAGAATTCGGAAATCCTACGAGATAAAAAAACTCAATCCGTAAAGAAATCATTTGTTATTTCGATATTATTATCATTATTACTATCATTATTATTATTATTATTATTATTATTATTATTATTATTATATTTGTAATATATAAAAGTCGTGACTGACATAAAAATAATCGAAATAATCAATTTAAAAAAAAAATAGAAAACGTATACGGATTACAGATGATTTGAATCTTGAAACAATTTTTCAAAATGAACTATTGACCGCCATTATTCATTTTTTTTTTGTATATAACTACTTGTCGTTGTTTCAATTGGATTTAAAATATTATTATTATTATTAAATTTATTTATTCGTTAATAAATGGTGATAAAAATTATAAAAATTATAAAAAAAGGAAAAAAAAAACTTTTTAATTTTTCATGTCGTTGATTTTTACGAAAGAAAAAAAAAGAGATTTCGTCGTGGATTAAGAAAAATAAAAAAAATAAAAAACGACAGAAAAGGAAGGGAGAAGGGGAAGCAGAAATCTTAAATCTGAACCTTTTTTTTTACTCGGTATATCGGGATTTTAAATTAGATAATTTTAATCTCGCTTTTTGTTTCTCTTTCTCTCTCTCTCTCTCACTTTTCTCTCTGTCTGTGTCTCATATTATTCCGGACGGAAAATTCGAATTTGAAAAAGGTTTTCTTCAGAATTGATTGGAAAGGGTAAAAAAAAGGGATGAAAAGGCAAAAGGTAAAAGGTAATAGGAAAAAAAGCAACAAAAAAAAAATCACACGTCGGACGTTTTGTACCTGGATACCCTTTTTTTGATTTTTCACCGCGTGTTGTAATTTTCCGAAATAATAATAATAATATTAATAAAATATGAGAAAATTTAAAGTGGAAGAAGAAAAAAAAATTATTCTTCGTTAGTTTTTTTTCTTTTTTTTTTTTCTATTTCTACGTTATGTTTTCACATCAACTCCTGGAATTTTTTTTTTACATTTTTTTCATGTTCATTTTATTTTTTTCTTTGAAAATTTTCTTCCCCCCTTTTTTTTCTTAAATTTAAATCCCCCCTGAAGTATCATTATTATTATTATTATTATTATTATTATTATTATTATTACTATCAGGAACCGGAAGTCATAATAATTTAATTTTTTACTCAAAAAAAAAAAATATAAATCATGTCGATTTATGTTCAACGTTCATTTTTGTATTCCTTTTTTCTTTGGAAGTGAGAAAAAAGTGGAAGAAGAAAAAAATATCGATCGAAAAAAGAACATTGTTTTCTAAAGACACGAAAAAAAAAAACTGCTTTGACTCGAATCGAGTGACGTAATAATAAAAGGAAATTTAAAAATTAATTTTTTTTTTCTTGTTTTCTCCACACACCTGAATTGGTTTGTAATCGATTCGTAATTATTATTATTATTATAATCCGATATTATCGATTTATTGATTAATTATCAATAGATTTCGATTTCTTAATTAAATGATTTATTTTATTTTTTTTTCATTTATTAAATTTTTGTCTGACATTTTATTTAACGGATTTTTCTTGACATTTTGTTACGATGAAAACCCATAAAAAAAAAAGGCTAACGATTTAATAATTTATATAAAAAAGAAGGGAGTAATAATTTAAATTAATATTATTATTATTATCGATGGAAAAATGTAATCTGCGGAAATGATATAGATTAATAATTAATTAATTTAGATATCTATGTATATTAAATTCTTCTTCCACGTTTTTTTTTTCTTTTTTATTGTTCTCCATTTTTACTTTTTTTTTGTGAAACTTTCATTCATTGTTTGTTCCTTTTTATCTTTTATTATTATTATTATTTTAAATAGTGTAGGATGAAAATTTTTCGGTTGAAAATTTTATTAGTTTTCAAATGATTTTTACCACTGCCACCCTCCCTCCGCCTAGCAGAAAAGAGTAATAAATTTTCGATATAAATTATTCAATGTCACGAAATAATTTTAAGAATGGGTAATAAAAACTTTTCATTTTCCCTTTTTTAATAATAACTTATGAGAGTAATTATTAATTTTCTTATTCTTAGCGTTTTTCCTTTTTTTTTTTTTAATCTTTTTTTTTCATGTTTTTCTTCTGCTTTCCTTCTCTCTCTCTCTCTCTCTCTCTCATAATCTTTTTCATATTTATTTAAAAAAAAAAGAAAGCGAAAGGGGGAGAAAGGGGAGGGGACAAGATGAGAAGAAAAAAAAAATTCAAAATATTGCGTATTGAATCTTTTTTTTTTACTTGTTTTTCTTCTTCCCTGCCCCTTTTCTCCCTAATTCCTCCCCTTTTCCAACCAATTTTCCCCGCCTCTGCACAGTAGTTTCTGTCGAACATATAGATACATTTAAAATGTGAAACGATTATTCTGCCATAAAAAAATATTGAACTATTTAATTTTATGTTTGTTTTTGTTTTTTTTTTTTTTTTTCATTTATTGTTTTTAATTTTACGGTCGTGTCAGCAGTTAAGAAAAAAATTAACATAACTTTTTCTTCTTTTTTTTATTCTTCGGTTATTAAAAAAAAAAAAGAAGAAGGAATAATAAATAGGAGAAAGAGGAAAATGAAAGTTAAACTTTTACATAAAATTTTTCTTGTTTTTTTTTATTTTAAATAAAAGTAAAATTCTTATTCCACGTGTGCCGTCGAGTTTAACGAAATATATATTATATTATAATCGTATCATTAGAAAAAAAAAAAATTTGAGGTAAAATAAAATAAATTCTTTCTGTTTTCAAAAGGAAAAAAGAGTATTTAGTAATAAAAGTTTTCGATTTTTGGAGTAAAAAAAAAAAAAATAAATAAATCCGTTTTTTTTTTTATAAAGTTGGTATCCCTTGTTTTTTTATTTATTTATTTATTTTTCCGTTAGTTTTTAACTTTTAATCTCATTTCGTTTTTAGAGTTTAAATATAAATTTTTTATTTTGTTTTTACGTTTGCTAAATGTTAACTTACTCACACACGCACAAGCAAACACAAACAAACACACGAACATACGCACAATTTTGAAAACTAAGTTTTTTTTTTTTTGTGTGTGTTTTTTAAGCAAGAAGTTTTTCATAAACTTTTTCCCCCTCTCTCTCTCTTCCTCTCTCCACCTTCTCTCTCTCTTTCTGTTTTTTTTTCTTTCCTCAAATCGGGGTAAATTAAACATTATTTTATAAAAAAGTTTTTATAAAACCTTAAGGCCAAATAAATT